ATAATCTCAGCACTTTGGAAGACTGAGGTGGGTGGATGACTTGAAGTCAGGAGTTCGAGACCAGCCTGGCCAACATGGTGAAACCCCATCTCTACTAAAAATACAAAAATTAGCCTGGCATGGTGGTGGGCCCCTGTAGTCCCAGCTATTCAGGAGGCTGAGGCAGGAGAATTGTTTGAACTCAGGAAGCGGAGATTGCAGTGAGCCAAGATTGCACCATGGGACTCCAGCCTGAACAACAGGGCGAAACTCCATCTCAAAAAAAAAAAAAAAAAAAAAAGACAAAAGAAAAAGGAAAGAAAGAAAGACAGGGGAGAGAAAGAAAGAAAAAGAAAGGCAGGAAAAGAAAAGAAAAATTATATATATATATATGAGCTAAAGCTAGCTAATACTGTAAAAATCTGGCCTGCCCTTCATCTATAGACCCAGATAAAACTGTAAGGTTAGCAGGACACATTTCACCCAGGGGGAAGCTGCAGCAGTAAAAGTGTTCTAACAGCCCCCTTTATGAGTGACGACTGCTATCTTACTCACTGAGAAACTTTGTTCTCTAAAATCATAGACTGTTGGAAACTTTGCAGTATGAAAGTCTATCGGTAAGAATGAAACAGCCTAATCTTTCCTTCCTAGAAGATCTGTCACTTTGACCAAGATAAGAAGCCTCCATTTCCAGCCCTGGTGCAGAGTTTTAAATAAAAAGTTTCTGGGCACAGCATGCCACATTTATATTAACATTGTAGTTTCCAGGGAAACAAGACCTTAGGTCCACTTTGCAGACCAAATCTGATTTTTCCTTTTTTTTTTTTTGAGACAGGATCTCGTTCTGTCACCCAGACTGGAATACAGTGATACAATCATAGCTCACTGCAACCTCAAACTCCTGGATTCAAGCAATCCTCCCACCTCATCCTCCCAAGTGGCTGGGACTACAGGCATGTGCCACCACACCCAGATAATTTTCTCCTCCCCTCCCCTTCCCCTTCCGCTCTCCTTCCCTCTCCCCTCCTCCTCCCCCTCCCCTCCCCTCTCCTTCTCTCCCCTCCCTCCCCTCCCTCCCTTCCTTCCATAGAGCTGGGATTTCACTATGTCACCCAGGCTGGTCTTGAACCCGTGGGCTCAAGCAATCCTCTTGTCTTGGCCTCCCAAAGTGTTGGAATTACAGACATGAGCTTACTGCACGCGGCCCAGGCCTGATGCTGACTCACTTATACACATTCCTACCTTGTTCTAAACCTATCTAAACATTGTTTCACTTAAATTTCATCCGAATTTCTCTCTTCCTCCAAATCCTATAACTCGATTGCAGCTTCTGCTCTGAGGGGTGATCGCTCTCATTTCAGTGGGTCAACAAACCTGACTGCCTTGCTTGTCCCTGATGATTGGGCTAGGATGGGTGGGTGGGAGGGTGGGTGGATGGATGGATAAACGGAATTATGAAGCCAAAGCAATGGGGTAAACTGTTAATAAACAAATCAGAGTAGAGTATTTGTTTGTCCTACAGTGTTTATATTTGTGTAGGTTATCTATAAGTTTAAACTTATTTCCAAATTAAAATTTTGTCTGTTTTTTTTGTTTTGTTTTGCTTTAAGGTGCATGCCTGTAGTCCCGGCTGCTCAGGAAACTGAGGCGGGAGGATTGCTTTAGCTTAGGAGGTCGAGGCTGCTGTGAGCTATGATTGCGCCACTACTGCACTCCAGCCTGGGTGACAGAGTGAGACTCTGTCTCAAAAAACAAAAACAAAAGCAAAACAAACAAACAAACAAAAAACCAGAACCCGCAAATAAGTAGAAAAGAAAGAAACTAAGTTGGTTTGGACCAGTGTTTAGCCACAAAGAAATTTTATATTGAATTTTATATTGTTAATTCAGCACATCGACGTTTAAATTTTGAAAAGCTTCTTACCATTTTCTATGACACTAATATTTCATATGAATTTATTTCACTTTTTAAAAAATGGCTATGATCTACCCAAGGAAATGCACCTGTTCTGAGAAACTCTCGTCCGAGAGATCCAAACGCGAGTTGAACGTTAAGGCTTCGCGAATTGCGGTTTTCCTACCAGCGGGCGCGTGACCGGACTACATTTCCCAGAGTACCTCGGGGCGAGGCCGGGGTGGAGAGGGGTCTGAGCTCCCACCTCACCGCCAAGGCGTGGCCCTCAGGCTTGCTGGGAAAAGGAGGCGAACCTCACGTGGGAGGAGGGGCGGGGCTTGAGAGGTGACCCGTTGGAGTCACCCGGTTACTGCGGAAAAACGTGGTTCTGGGAAGGCGGTAATGGGCCTGCTGCTCGGCCTCTTGGGCTTTATCGCCCTGCAAGCCCGTGCGGCCGCTGGTTCTTCTTTCTTCTCTGGTTCTTCCTCCCCTGCTGAATCATCCCAGGCCTCCTGCCCTTGTTCTACTTCCCTGGGATTCCTTAATGCATCTATTCTAATCAGCATTAAAGGGCGCCCCCGGTCCATGGCTCTGGCCTTGCAAACTACCAGCGCTCCGCAGAGAGCCAGGGAGAGGACACTGGCAAACTCTGGCCCGTGGGAAGTCTGGTGGGGCTTCCTGGAGGAGAGAGTAGGTTTCTCACGCAGACCAGAGTCAGGAATCAGCACCGAATGCCACATATAGGCGTGCTGTTCTGATGCATAAACAGTCCTTGCAGGCACGCCACTCCCTTCAGACCTCTCTCTCGGCATGCCCACAGCTGGCCCTGTGCTTGGTATGGTAGCTCCAGGCCCTGCCAGGGAGACAGACATTGTCTCTCAGACCAGACAGTGGCACCCAAAGTGATGTGGAAAGCCCCGGACCCTATGGGAAACTAGAGGAGGTGCCTCACCCCGCCTTGGGGAGGCCAGGGAGGAAAAGCAGCAGAGATCCGACTCATCTCAGGGTCCCCTGCATGATGCCACACAAGAATCTTCATTCAAAGGGCTCCCCTGTGCCAGGCGATGCTGGGGACAGAGATAGTCATACCTTGTCCTGCCCTCCCCCTACGCACCTGGAGTGTCCCTCAGCCTGTCTGATGAGGGCTGGGTCAAGAGAGGAACAAGGGGTTTGTGGATACCAAAGGGGATCCCGAACCCCGCGCGGGACTCGGGGGAAAGGCTGGATGTTTGGGGTGATGTGTTATCCAATTCTTGGAAGTGGGTGTTTACCCTACAGAGGAGGGAGGATGGAGATCTTTGCATATACAAATGCAGTGTCAGGAGAGAGCACACAGAGGTGAAGATCAGATCTGGGAACTGCAAAGACCCCTCTGTGTCTGGTATTATTCTAGATCAATACTGTTATTATCCCCACAGTACAGATGGAGACATTGAGAAGCAGCAAGGTTATGTCTCACTCAGGTTTTCCCAGGAGATAAGTGGCTGATAGGAGACAGGACTGGAACCTGGGCCATCTGGCTCCAGAATCCGGGCGGGCAGCCATGGTGTACCATGCCCAAATACTTTCCAGAATGGAAGCTCTGCTAGGGCAGAGACCCCTGTGGGAAGTAACAGGTACTCATCATTGTCTGCCTAATCTGATCTCTGGCTGCCTATAAGATCTACAGCTGTCTATTCCTCCCTGGGGAAACTGAAGCTCAGCATGGGAAGAATTTCTGATTGAAGGCTGACTCCAGGCCACACCCCCACTCTCCTATTCTGCATTCCTCTGGGACTGTGGGGCTGAGAAATGACTCCAGTAGAGAGAAGGGTGGCTGATCTTCTCTCTATCCAAGCTGACCCTGATGACTTGCTCCTCCCTTGTGGATCCAATGGTGACCCTTTAGGCAGTGGTGCCATGGCTGAAGGAAGGGAAGAGGCAGAGTGGTAAGGACAGACAGGGTCACATTCCCATTCCTGGGCTCCCTGATGTCAGGGTCACGCCCATGATGCCAACCTTGGGGGAGGTACTAGGGTAATTTCCAAAGTGCCTCTCCTCCAAACAGCTGTCCACTATGCTGAGGCCCAGGCTGGCTGACTCCTGGGTGTCTTCACTGCCCCCAGGGAGTAAAGATATGAAAACGGTGAGGGAGAGCCAGGCGCTGTGGCTCACGCCTGTATCCCCAGCACTTTGGGAGGCCCAGGCGGGCAGATTCATTGAGCTCAGGAGTTCAAGACCAGCCTGGGCAACATGACAAAACCCGACCTCTCTAAAAAAATACAAAAATTAGCCAGGTATGGTGGGGTGCACCTGTAGTCCCAGCTACTTGGGGGGCTAAGGTGGGAGGACTGCTTGAGCCCAAAAAATTGAGGTTGCAGTAAGCCATGATTGTACCACTGCACTCCGCCTGGGCGACAGAGCAAGACCCTGTCTCAAAAAAAGAAAAAGAAAAAAAAAGGGTGAGGAAGGAAGGTAGCGTGTGGCTCAAGTTCAGCCATCACTAAATGCACACTGTCCTGGTCTCACCTGAACATCCCAAGAGCTGCACAAAGTAGGAGGGAATGTGCCCATGTTCAGATGAAAAACCCGAGGCTCGCAGAGGGGAAGGGCCTGGCTCCGGGCCTCACTGGCAGGAAGCAGAGGAGGGAAAATTGGAAGTCTAAGCTTCAGGGTTGGGTGGGTCCTTAAGTCCATGTCTCAATATATCATCTCAACAAGTCCATGAAACCGTATCATCTGGGGAAACAAATTGGAGACACACCACTTAAACAAATCAAACAGGCTTTCCTGCAGGACTTGTAAGAGCCTTTAGCTCCTTCATGTTTCCCAAATCTCTTTGACCAGGACCAAGACCAAGGCCTGGGACGATTGACAGTCCCTGGGTTCCAAAGGCCGAGAGAGGGCACGATGGAGGTGAAGGTGTCTACAGCATTTGCACGCGTGTACTCCGGGCATCTGTGCACAGAACAGATGAATGTGTGTACATATGCACCAGTGTTTCTCCATCACTCTATCTGGGGCTCAAATTACATCTTTAAAAACCAGAACAGGCGTCCAAAGGCCAGGACACGCGCCCAAAGACCAGGGTCTGGCCCTTCCCGGCTTTCCCTGCAGAAGATAAAGTCCAAGAGTGCCTTCACTGCCCCTCAAGTCAGATTCCACAAGGATTTATTGGCACCGGACCCAGCCTAGTGTCCGCCCCTTCAAGGAAGGACACTAACAAGGAGGAGTCCCGGCACCGCAAGAGCCCTCCCAGGAGCGCCCAGCCTGGAGCGGGGTGGGGGAGATGCTGCCATCCGTGGACAGGAAGGGAAGGGCGATCTCGCAGGAGGGTGGGCACGGCGCAGGGAAAGGCCGGCTGGTGGGATGGGCAGGGAGGCGGGGGACCGGCCCCACTAGAAGGGGAACTCGCAGACGTAGTAGAGGCGCCGCTGGCAGTCGTGGTCCCACCAGGAGCCGTCGTCAGAGGCCTGCGCCACGCAGTTCTCCAGCGTGCCGCCGTTGGGCTGGTCCGGGCTGAGCGGGTGCGGCGAGGCGCTGGGCTGGCCGCCGAGCTCGGGGCGGGGTGCGCGATGCCAGGCGAAGAAGGACACGCGCTGGCCGTTTTCGAAGAGGTAGAGGCCCTCGGCGCGCCGATCGTGCACGCCCAGCCACACCGGCCAGTTGTAGGGAGCGAGCGCCGCGCGCAGGTAGCGGGTGAGCGCCTCCATCTGCTGGCGATCAGCAGGCTGCGCCAGGCTCCCGCCCCGCGCCGTGCACCGCGCCTGCGCCGCCGCCTGAGTTTCGAAGTCGCGCGAGAGCAGGAAGCACTTGTGGCCCAGGCGCAGCCCCTTGAGGCAGCCTGTGGGCGGGGCCGGGTAGAGAAGGAGGCGGGGTTATGCATTCGGGGACCGGAAGGGGGCGGGGACAAATCATCCGGGAGTGGAGGGAGGCGGGGTCAGGACCTCGTAGGGCGGGCTGGGAGGAGGCGTGGTCAGAACCTTGGGAGCCAGAAGGTGGAGAGTCCGGTCCGCCAGGGGCGGGGTCAGGCGGTGGGGGCGGGACTGTAGGGGGCGTGGTGCTGCCCCAGTCGGGTCCGCGCGGCTCTGGAGTGCCCACCCTGCTCCCTGCGTTACGCCTCCCAGCTCTCTAACCCCGTCCGCTAGCACACAGCAGCTCTCCCGCCCCGGACACCTAGGGTCACTTTCTCAACCAGTCCCATACCTGACCAAATAGTCTCATTTTTTTCCACCCCGCGTGCCGTGGACTCACCCTCCAAGCGGCCGTGCTCGCGCTCGGCGCGACCCTGCGCCTCCTGCAGGGCTTGCACGGCATCGCGGGTGTCGCCCGCCGCGTTCCGCAGCTGCCGCAGCCCCTGGGTCAGCTCGACCACACGGGTGTCCAAAGCGTGCAGACGGACGTGCAACTGGTGCAGGCCTGCGTCCAGGCCAGCCAGGCGTCCCACTGCGGACAGACAGGGATCGTGCTGGAGGGGGAGCCTGGAGATGCAGCTGGGGGACTGAGGATCTGGAGAACTGCGACCTAGGGCTCCTGAGGGCGGGGTGGCGGTGTGGGGGGACCCCGGACTCCTGGAAGGTAGGGTCGAGTGGCGCCAGGCTCTTAGAAGGCATGGTCGTGGACCTGGGGCTCCTAGGGGTGTGAGGGCTCTGGGCTAGGCAATGGACAACTGAAAGACCACCCGGCAGGGAACCGACCCTTCATTTTTGCGAAAGTGACCGCGGCGGCCTGGGGGTTTGGGGGTGAGGGCTTCTGGTTACTTACGGATGTAAGTGACGATGTCCTCGGGGGTGGGAGAGGGGCTGGGGCTGGAGGATGGGGTTGGCGTTGCTTCCTCCTCCTCTTCCTCCCCCTGGTCCTCCTCCATCTCCCAGTCCTCTTTGCCCTCAACAGTTCCGGCAGGATTCTCATCCCCCCTCCCAGCAGGCAGTCCCAGGGCTTCCTGCAGATGCTGGGGCAGGGGAGGGGCGGTGAGCCCCAGCCTGCCACCAAGATGCCCCACGAGCCACTTTCCAACTCTTAACTCATTCTCTGCCGCCTGAGTCCTGTCTCTGAGCCCATCACCAACCCCCCCCCCACCCCACGAGACTATCCTAATTGCTCCTTTTTGTCCATTTCCCTAACCTTGCAATACCCCCTCCCAGGCTCACAGTTCACCACCCATAGCTCCCTGACACTCCAGAGCTCACCTTCAGCATCAGGGCCTCCCTCTCCCGCTCCTCCTCCTGGGCACCTCCCCAGCCTCCCTCCCACTCCCTCTCGGCTCCCCGAGCCCCATGGCCAAAGCCCAAGAGCTGGGGGACCACCAAAGCCCCCAAAAGCCAGGCTGCCTGCATTAAGCTGGACTCTTGGCACCCAAAGTTCCAGATGTCTGGATGTCTGGGGTGGGAGGGGTGGCCTCTGGGAACTGCTGAGTGCCCCTGCCCTGTGTGCAGGTCACTAGCCCCCAGGTTCCCGACTCTCCCAGTTTCTCTCTTCCTGTTTCTCTCCTCGTCTCTGTCCGGTCCGTTGGTCTCCTCTGCTCCTCTGTGTGTGTCTCTCCCCGCCCCTCTTGGCTCCCCCGAGGCCCTGCCTCTGTGGCCGGAAACCTCCAACGTTCCAAAGCCTGGATCCCGCCTTGGGTCTCCTCGCACACCCTCCTCTTTCCACTTTCCAGAGCTCACTTCCGCCCTGCTCCGTTCCTTCTGCCGTGGCCCAAAGCTTAGATAATCAGGAAGAGGATGGAGCTGGCTCTCCAAGGAATCTTGGAAAACACAGGCCCCGGCTTCAGCCCAGGAACCCGCTCAGAATCACCGGGGCAGTGGTGGGATGCTGGGACCGAGCACTGCTCCCTTCTTCCCTGCCTGGCCATTCCTGAGGAGGGGGCAGACCTCAGGATCTCGCTGAGGTTGTTATTACCCTGTGGCCACCATCGCCCACATGCTCAGTAGAGGAGACTCCAGGGCCTCTCCTGTCCCCTAGATTGCCCATCCCACCCTCCAAGCCCTTTTCTGGAGATCCTAGTGCGTGGGTGTGGGGGCGGGGCGACACATGCAAAGAGCACGCATGTGACTGTGTACACAGCCCTGGAAGATGGGGCTCGGGGATTAATTGACCACCTTACTAGAAGCCTCCTGCAGGCCAGGCCCTGGGCTGGGTGATGCTGAGGACTCCAGCTGCTTGCAGACCAGCAGCCAGATAGTTCCTGGGATGAGGAGGTTGGAGATGGGAGAGGGTGAGGAGTCTGGAGGAGCAGTCAGGGAAGGTTTCTCCAGGACGTGAAATCGACAGACGCTAGGTTGTGTGCTCAAGGAGCTCTGAGCATTCAGCGAGCCACCTCGTTTCAGCCTGGACCACTGCAGTCTCCCTGCCCTCCCCCTCCTTCCTCCTGAGCCCCTCCAATCCCGGCTGCTTGCCGCAGCCAAAGCAATCCTTCCAAACCATAAATCAGATCACATCACTCCCCACTCCCCTGCTCCCCCACCTTCCCATCATAAGCAGGAGGGAAGCCAAGCCTGGGCCTCAGTCCTTAGCACAGCCTACCATACTGAGGGCTGGGAAAGAAGAACCCTTTACACCTCTGCAGCCTCATCACCCCCACTCCCCTCACCCGCCCCCAGGCTCCACCTTCCCTGGCCTCTTGGCTTGCCCCCAAATACTAAGCTGATTACAACCTCAGAGCATTTGCACCAGCCCTTTCCTCCTTCGAGAAGGTTCTTTCCCCAGCGCCTTCTCATCATCGAGGTCTCAGCTCCAAGAGGCCTTCCCCAACCACCTTATCTGTTCCACAAGTTACTTTATTAAAAAGCCCCATTTCATCTTTTTGGTATAATCAAGATTGGCACGATCTTGTTTGTTTGGTTATGTCTGTTCCCTGCCAATGAAAGTAGGGATTTCTATGCACTGCTGCATCTCCTAGCACAAGGCCTACCTAGCACATAGTAGGTGCTCAATCAACCTGTTGAGTGGGCCAGAGGATAGCCGTTCCTGGTGGGGTCAAAGGCCTGGAGACTTCACCTTTTTGGTTTGCTGGCACCCAAGTTCCCAGGGTGGTGGTGGCAGCGTGGGTGGAGGCGGTGAGAGCAGTGGGAGAGAAGCTTGGAGGCAAGGAAGCACGATGCCATGCCATGCTCCTCTATGTCAGGCCCATGAGTCATGCAGGGCTTTTCCAGTCCAGGCCTGGCTGGTGGTGCCAACAAGCATGGGGCACACCAGCCGGGGATCACTGGGCCTGCTCTTCAAAAGAGGAGACCGAGGCTCTGAAACAGCATGGCCTGCTGGAGGTCACCAGTGTGGCGGCAGCTAGCCAAGGTTTCTGGCTCCAAGAGCAGGGCATCTGCCCTCGGCTGCCGGGAGCCCCAGGAGGGGCCTTGGAAATCAATGCCTCCAGCCTTCCGTTTTCCAAGAAAGCCTGGTACATCGAGGGCACTGTGACCTTGGGCAGACTGCTCCCTGCCTCAGAGCCTGGGCCTCTCAGGTACCTGTTGGGGACCTGGGACCCCTCACCAGGAGCTACAGACCTCAAGAAATAATGCATATATGGGGAAAGGCCTTGTAAACTGTGCAGGGGTGCACAGCCTCTCTGGCTGCTGAAGCCAACATGGGCAGCTGTTCTTTCCCTGGGCCCAGCTGCTCACCACCTGGGCTAGTGGATGTGCATCAAGATAGAGCCTCCCCAGGCTGAGCAGGCACCTCCTCCAGCTCATACTTGGGTACCGGGGAGAGCCTGCAGCTGGAGGGGAACCCAGAGGCTGCCTAGAACTGCCCCCTGCAGGCCCGGGAGGTGCTGTTGGAGCTGGGAGAATGAGGAAGTCTGGGCTAAGGGGACACTCACCACTCGCTGCTGCTCTGTGGGATCTGGCCTCTCTGTGGGTGCGTCCCAGGCATGAATGAGCTGTCTGCCTGCAGCTGGCTGCATATGCGTGCCTACACACACATGTGCAAGCTCTGAGGAGATGGTTGGGTGTGTCTGTATGTGATGAACAAGGATCTGCAACTATGAGGGGATATGCCTGGGAGTGCACAATAGTGGTCAAGTGAGGACTTTGGAGCCAGCCTACCTGTTCTTGATTCTTGTTACCACATCCTTATAGCTGGATGACCTTGGGCAAGTTACTTAGCCTTTCTGTGCCTTGGTTTCCCCCTCTAGAAAATGGGGATGGTGAAAGTCCCTGAGCCTGGCACACAGAAAGTGCTGTAGGAATATCAGCAGTAACTATCCTGGAGGGGAAGGATGGCACGGTGTTGGGCATGTAAACGGGTGAGTGCGAACCAGTGCAATGGACAGCACGGTGGGTGGGCGTGATGGGAAGGCGTGCACACGTCTCTACAGTGCTGTAACTCCGTTTTGGTGTTGAGAGATCTGGGCATGCATACCGGGGTGAACGCCTGTGTGTGTGTGTGTGTGTGTGTGTGTGCCCGCGCACGCGCGTGTGTGGTGGGCAGTTGTGTGCATGTGCTGCGTGTGTGCCCGGGCACAGGGGTGTGACAACTGCATGTAGCTGGGTGTGTTTGTAGCTGTGTACCCCAGGTGCATTGTGTCTGGGCATGCATGCGCTGGAGAGTGTGTGTATATGGGGACTCTGCAGGTGCCGTTACAGCTGGTGACTGTGCACCTGTGCCTTGGGGGAATGTGGCCTGGCCCAGGTATGTCCACGTGTGCCCTGACCCAGTACTGAGATGGAAAGGGTGTGTGTGTGTGTGTGTGTGTGTGTGTGTTTGGGGGGACAGGGTGGGAATCTATAGCCTTCACACTTCAATTTGGGGGTGTAGAGTCTGGCAACAAATATTTATTGTGCCCCACTGTGTGCAGGGGGACGGGGAGCTCTCTGGGAGGGGGTGGTCCTGAGGCGTGTGGGGGGGCACCCTTACGGGGGCAGGACCCCTTCGTCGGGGTATGGGAGCAAGCAGGGGCGGAGTCAGGATTTGGGGACTCGGAGGTGGCGAGGAGTGGTGGGGGAGGGCAAGGGTAGGGGGCGGAGCCGGCGGTGGTGGGG